TTTCTTCTTCTTCTTGGCCAAGGCCTGCAAGGGTTTGTGAGGTGAGTCGAGAAGGATGAAGACGAGACACTTCACCTCCTTGACGAAGTTGTCGAGGAAGCGGAGAGTGGCGTCGTCGATCTTGTCGATGTCAATCTCGATCTCCTCGTTGTCATCCGGGTTCTGAGTGTTGAGGGGAACCAAAGTGAGAACATCCATCATGGCAGGGCAGAAGTGACAACCGGCTGCAAAACCTTGTGGTTGCGATCATGGATGATTTGAACAACAGAGCCCAACTTCTTTCCAGGGAGCTTGTTCATGTTTTGACTCAACTGTGCTGCTTGTCAGCATCGGATGGGTGGGAAGCAACGGCTCAGAGCGGTTCTCAACAAGCACAACAAGTCTGGACTAACCTCGCGCTTTTCTTCGTAAGTCATCGGCCTGTCGTCGCTGAAGTCTGCATCGTGCAAACGCTTTCCTGCGGAATGACTGTGAGATCGTTTCTGCTGGCTGCTCCTTGCAGCACCGATGGAAGGTTCGGAAGGTCCGCCGCTTGCGTCACCCCCGGACTTCTCTATCTTCCATTTCTCCATGATGGTCGCTTCTGATGATGACCACTTCTGAAAGAACAGCTAGCAACAAAACCAAGTCAGCAGCCGATCTGCGAACACCGGAGGTATCGAGGTCGACAACTATGGGATCGTGATTGTGACAGGCGGGAGCTTCGCAACAAGGCGGGTCCTCACCTCCTTCAGAGTCTTCGCCATGATGTGGACGTCGTGGTTGGAGGGGTTATATCGCATGGCGTTGTCGAAGGTGAGCACCACCTGCCCATGGGAGCACGATGCAGCCCAGACGGTCAGACACACTCCGAGGATGGACGGACTCGTCTCACATTCGTCTTGAACTCTTCCGGGTTGGTGATGGTACCGTTGTCGAGGTGCGTTCTCACTGTACCGAGGTCCATCGGCTTCTTGATAATCTCCAGATAGTCAGGAATGTTGAGCTTGACAGGGTCTACGGGCTCGGAGAAGACCCAGCCATGCTTGTGGTTCTTCAGAACCTTGAGGATTCCAATGCATTTCTTCACCCATTCTGATTTCTGCCCAGACATCTGAAAAAAGGCGCTCGTGAGTCGAGATATGTGCATGGTGCATGTTGACCCATGCTAATCTCCTTCCCTGACCTGATGGTCAACCTTCCTGGCTGCCTCCATGCATGCATGCATGCCTGTCTCTTTCGCAATTCTACATTAACCCACTCTTGCCTGGATGGAGAGGTGGAAGGAAGAGGAAGGGAGGAAGGGGGGAAATCGCACGGTACAGCTCAAGGCAGTTGGATGAAACATGGAAGAAAGGTGAGCTGAAGATAACCTTCTCGAACTGAGTGATTTCCTCGTGATTCATCTATACACCCAAGATAATCTTCTTGGTAGAATGCCAGGAAAGGAGGTGGGAGGCAGAAAAGAGAGAAAAGTAAAACCATCAGGAAGTGGGGCAGTGAGGGGCGCGATGGGAAGGGGCAGAGCGATTGGAGCTGTCTGCGGAGAGACACGGGGGTGATGGTAGAGGAGAGGGATGGACGAAGACGTATCAGGGGTAGCGGGCAGGAGCGGGGAAGGGGGAGGGGCTGGGTGGGGGGGGGGACGGAGGACGGAAGGGGAAGGAGCCGGCTAGGCGCAGGAGGAGGGCGCGAGGACACGGTGAGTGAATCTTATTAGTATTATAAACTGTGAATTTTTAACTTGTTCATGGTACCAGGAATCGGAATAGTATTTATAACCTCTGTTTTGGGCACCAGTTTCTGATGCACCTGGTACAGATACAACTACTGTTAGTTTTAGTTTCTTATAAGTTATTGTAAAACAAAAAAACGGGCTCAAGACCCCGTGACTCAGCAAGTAAATGGGACCGCCGGGGCCCGGCCGGGAGGTAAAGCCGGGCGGCGCTCAGTGATTCATAAGTAGAGACAGATATGTGCTGTATGAGGGGGAAAGTGATCGTGGCAGTCAAACTTCATTGTGAAAAGGATAACAATTCGGAGGGGTGGGTGATATCGAGAGATGTGTGAGAAGGGGTACTTTGATTACTATCTCGAGGGGTCTTGTAAGGATATTGGGGGTATGGGGTGGATGGTCCGTAGGCAGTTGGACCTTGATTGAGGGCGGCTAGCAATGGGGAAGGTGGCGCGATCGACAGGGCGAACGACGGTGATGGTGGCGGCAGCGGCAGGCGCGGCGAACATGCCGAGAGACGCAGTAACATCACATCGAAGACAGGACGAAGAGGAGGAGGAGGTCGTGGGAGGAGGAGCCACTGGTCACCAGGAGCAGCACGGGGGATTGTATGCCGAAGAGCTGCATATGAAAGCATGCGCAGAGGAGGAGCTCCGGCAGCGGGCCAGGTTAGCACGTGCCTTTGCTCCAGACTTTTCGGCCATGACGATGACGAGCAGGAGGAAGTTGATGGAGATGCTAGCGTTCGTTGTGTTCCTCATCCTCTTCACCTGTAACGCTCTCATGCAACGGCCGATAGAAGCAAGCTATGGCAAGCTCCTGTTCACCCCCTCTTCCTGCCTCACTTCCGCTCCTCCTGCCCTTTTCTTTCTCCTTCTCTCTGCCTCCTTCTCCCTCCCCAATTTTCCTGTCGCCTCCTACACCATCCTCCTGTTCCCTCATTCCTGACTTCCAACAAAGATTTCTCCAGGGAATTCACCGCCGCCACGCTCGAAGGAGCGACGTTTTCGAGCACGACCTACTTCAAGAGTTTCTCGGATGTCAGCACTGTCGATGACTTCTGGACCTGGCTAGTAGAGTGCCCGATGCAGTACCTGTACATAGACCGGAGCTACAACGGCTCCTTCTTCGGACCTGACTTCCAGGGTACAAGGTGGCGAGTCATAGGCAACAATGTGATGGTACAGAGGCCGAGGTTGAGGCAGATCCGGGTCGAGCCGCAGGCTTGCAAGGTTCCCAGCAGGATGAGGGCGACAGTCGGGTACGGGGACGGGCAGGTTTGTATCCCCAAGATCCAAGACGCCGACATTGACAAGTCCACCTGGTGGGCTCTAGAGCTCAACTCCTCCTTCGCGATGGTTCAGCGCCCGGCTCCCTTCTACTCCGCTTCCCAGCTCTCCAGCTCGAGTGTCACCTCTAGAGCCTCCGGCTCTCCCATCTCCTACGACGGAGGAGGTTTCATTCAGGTTGACCTTGACCTGCTCCCCCCCCCCCTCCACAGCTGACCCTGAGCTGCCGGCAGGATTTTCCGCTCAACATGTCCAACGCGCAGTTCGTGGAATTTGTGAAGGCCCTGCGAGCTGGGGGCTGGACTGACGCCAGGACGAGGGCTGTGCTGTTTGACTACGTGGTGTACAACCAGGTTCTGAACCTGTTCCTCTCTACCAGGCTCTTGTTCGAGTTCCTGCCCTACGGCTTCGTCCGCTCCAGCAGCAGCATCCGCGTGATGCGGTTCGGATACGTCAGGCTGTCTGACATCTCGCTTCTCGTGCTCGACATCTTCGTCTACGTCAGCGTCGTGGTCTGGCTGGGCCTCCTGACGTTCCGGGTGTGGAGGAACAGGACGAGGGTTCTGCGGGACGTCTGGTTCTTCATTGACCTTGTGAACATCATCATCTTCGTCATCACCCTCGGCTACAAGGTCCAGTACTACCTCATGGTCAAGGACTTTATCGGGGGCTACCCTGATCCCTCCGTAGCCAGTAGCCCGTCCCAGGAGTCTCCAGTGTTCGGGTCGGGCAGGGACGAGTCTGGGTACCTGCAGAAGTACCTGGACTTCGATGCGATGGGATGGTACTCCTATCAGATCACAAACTGGACGGGATTCAACGGCCTGATCACCTGGCTCAAGTTCCTTGGGTACCTGCAGTACCTCAACCCCGCCGTATCGAAGCTCATCCTGACCCTGGCGAGATCGGCTAAAGACATCACGATATTCTCGATCCTCCTCGCCATCGCCCTCTGGGCCTTTGCACTGGCGCTGTACGTGTCGTTCGGGTCGGAGATGGAAGAGTTCAAGTCTGTAAACCTCGCGTACATCAACGTGTGCAAGTCGCTGGTGCAAGGGCTGGACTTTGACAAGATCCGACAAGTCAACGTCTACCTTGGCCCCCTCCTCTTCCTTCTCTTCCAGTTCATCTGCTTCTTCTTCCTCCTCAACATGTTCATCGCCATCATCCTCAACGTGTACCAGGAGGTGGTCAACACACCGGAAGACCCGTTCGCCGTCGCTTTCCGTGCTGAGTTCAGACGTCTGCTCGAAGGACTGAGAGGGAGGGTCGTGAAAGCGGCGAGGAGGAAGGGGAGGGTTGACATGGAGGACGACTTCGAAAGTTCAGAGGAGGGAGCAGGGCTCAAGGAAGTGAAGGTTCAGACAAGGCGGAGCAGTTTGGGTGGAGGAGCAGGGGATAGCGACGCGAATCAGGTGAGGGCTGGAGGAGGGACGAGAAGAGGGCGAAGGTCGGAGGAGGAGGAGGCGGGAATGATGAAGATGGAGAGAGATGTTCTCGATTGACTTGAATGGGTCAAGATCGGATGGTCAACTAGCTCCACGGTTATACAGAAAGCAGCAGAGCAGAGGTGACAAAAAACTCCATCGCCTCCTCCCGCTCCCTCCTGATCCCTCCCTGCCTCCCCTCCCCTCCCTGCCTCCCCTCCCCTCCCCTCCCTGCCTCCCTCCCTGCCTCCCCCTTTCCTCCTCCTCATTGTCTCGCAGGACTCGACTTCGTGACAATCAGCTCA